AGCTGAAAAGTAAACGTTTAGTAAACGGTCAGAATAGAACCAGAGCTTATGCAAAATTTCTGCAGCTATTCCTATATCAAAAGGTTTAAAATTGTACAGAAAATCTAATATTAAGTTTGACTTTTTTTCAGCTCTTGAAATTCGTGAAGACATTGAGACTGTTTTAGAACCAAACATGCTGGTGTCTCTTGAGCCAATGATTGTTGTGCCAGACGGACAACCTGGTGCAGGAGGCTATCGTGAGCTGAACATTATGGTCGTCACGGAGGAGGGTGCAGAAAACATCACACATTTTCCCTACGGACCAGAACACATGATTATTAAAAAGTAAATTACAGGCCTATTTTTTGACGTTAACAATTAATTGTCTTGAAGCTGCCTGGAATTCTGCTCCATTTGATTGCGGAACGTGTCCATCTCGTTTGTTGTCCGAGCCCTGTTTTTCGCCTTTCCTCACTTTCTTTCACTCATTCTTCCCGTCTAGTCTCTTTGCAGTAACTTTCTGCGGTGTTGGTTAATCAAAGTTGCAGTTGAACGTTTAGCGCATTTAGCATCTTCAAAAGCTAATCTAATGATAGTACGAATTAGGCCTATTAACAGATTATATTGAGTGTAGGCCTACATGTGACTAAATCAGTTCCAGTAACACTGAAATAATTTAATTACAAATTTACATTAATTACAAATAGGCCTACATGGGTTGTAGTGGGAAAGTATTTTGATGTTTTATGATTAAGTTTAATAAGAAATTTTACAATCATTTTATGAAGTACAGTATTCATATAGACAAAATTGCTGCCATTTGTATTAAGGCCAACTCAGACAACGTCGGCCGACGCAGCCCGACCCGATTTATCGTCGGGGACAGTCTTAAGCCGTCGTGAGATATATTAAACACGTTTAATATTCTACTACGCGACTGCCCCCGACGCACACCATCGCGTCTGCGTTCAACTCACACAGACCCGACGCGACAACAAATCGGGTCGGGCTGCGTCGGCCGACGTTGTCTGAGTTGGCCTTTAGGCATCAGCCTATTCCTTTACAATGCTGCATTGTGTAACGCCAACTAATTTTATAATTTCTAAAATTAGAAGCTAGATGTGCAAATTGCCAAACCACCGTAGATTGGATGAATCAATTCCGTAGATTTTTTCAGCACTTGTTACCTTATCTTTAAATTGTATCCTCTCACTCTGACCATGAAATAACATCCATATGGCTTAGCTCCAAAGTGTTATCGTTAAAGTATAGAAAAGTAATTTCACTCTAAATGGGTTGAGCTCTTATATAATAATAGTCATACAGTACTTAGGGTTCCTTACATGTAATAGTTATACATGTTGGATTCAATAATTTCTAGAATAATGCAAATAGATTGACATTTAGTTCTGTGGGCATGTAATTAAGCAACTCCAGTATTTAAAGAACTACCTGATTGATGGCGTCCTCCTCATGACGTTTAATCATTCACTGTACCGATTTTTACCTCAACAAAACAAGAAACTCGTAAAGACTGCCTTTAAAAGAGGTTTTTGCGAATTTCCTAAGAAAATTCGATTATTAGTTTTATTCTACATTGTTGTAGTGTGTATCTTACAGGTTTCTTTCACTGATGGTTACCATAGTTAGTAAATGCGTGGATATAATGAAGTAAAATATTAAAATATTAAATTTAACAATACAAATTTAGATGTTATTCTTAATTTCCACCCAATGTTTGATTGATCTAGTTAGCACTAATTCCTTTAGAATTGTTCTCTCTTTTCTCTAATTAGTTCTTAGTTTTTTAGCAGTGCTGTAAGCTAATATCACTGAACACCACAAGTAATTCCATGCTGCATTTAGACTAGAACTGAGAAAAGTAACGCGCTACAATTTTAGTAAACGCTTATTTTTTCCAATTGCGACAAGACAACTCAGGGTACTAAGTAGTAGAAGTATAAATTATCGACACGACAACCATTCCGAATTGGGGTTTTCAGATTGGAAAGTTGGTATTGCAAATTTAGTTCCGATATAGTTACCGAACCTGTTTGTAGACAGTAGAGTATTGATATCGTTGTAACTCAGCTGTGTCTGGACCATCCGCAGTGCAATGTAGCATATATTTGACGATTTACGTATGCTCGATGATTTACTACATTAGAAGTAATTTTTTAGAATTTTTAAAAACATTAGTAAGCTTTTTTTTTTTAATTTTTTTTTTGGAAACACGCTTTTTATTATTAAAGGTATCCGTCTTCTATGACGTCATACACGCCAACAGACGATATCGCTACGAACCACATTAATTGCTGCAATTATGTTATTCCTTACATTTTTTGAATAAAATAGAAAAAGTGATAAGGTGTAATATAAGGTTCTTCTGTACTACGAGATGCTGCCGTAACTTTTAAGTTTACTTTCCCAACCAGATGGTTATAGAATTCCAGTTGGAATAATTATTATTTGTATTTAATTGCATATTTAGATTTCAGTTTTCAAATCAATCGAGTCTGTTGCTTATGCTTATGATTATCATACTCATTTTCTTTCAGCATGATAAATACGCATAGTATATTTTACAATTCAGCACGTTTTACCATATTTTTAATTGAGTTTCAAAATAACCGTATTATGTAAACGTTTTTGATGATAATAATAATAATAATAATAATAATAATAATAAGTGTGATAATGATAGGAATATAGTTGTTGTAGATTATAGTCTTGCAGTGGTATTTAGGACATATTTTAGTTAGTCGTCCGAATTTTGAATTTTTCCTTCATGTTTAATGATCACGCTTAATAATTAATGTATTTGTGTGCCGTTGTGATGTTACCAGGGAACAATTACATTAACTGTTAGTATTCGTTGCCATAATTGTCGAAGTAATTGAAATTTATTGTAATATGCACATCCTTTCCTATAATTTATACTATGTTAGATATACACTTTCCTATTGATTTATGAATAAATTACACACTCACAAAAAAAAAAAAAACAAGTTTACTGAGTTTTTTTTTCAGATGGTACCGTACATGCAACATTCATCTCATTCGATATGTTTTCTCTTGCTCTCTTTTTTCCCTATTCACTCTCATGAGCAGGCCGAACATTCACTCATTCATTCATTCATTCACAATTGGCTTGCCAAATTAGTCAACGTAAAGGAGAATTTATTCCAGGGGCGTTTATTTGAATCAGGAATGGCGCCAGAATTTTCCCGACGAGGTGGCCGAGTTCCCCGACTGGGAGGGGGGGGGATGTCCACGACGAGAGTAATAGGGGCCAGTGGAGGCCCATGGCGCCACTCCTGATTCAAATAACGTTATTTGTGTACTGTATACGTTGTTTAGAAACAGATTTTAATTTCTTTTGTTGTAAATGCCTCTTTGATTATATTGAATCTTCAATTAAAAAAGAATATCTATCAATTAACACTAGACATCAATCCACCTTGACTTTTAATAATCTGCATTCTCACTGTAGTTCATCACAATTCTGTTATTGTAGTTTTCCCTCGAATTTGGTTAAATTTGCCTCATAGCCTTAAAGGTGCGTTGACCTGCGAGTCTTGGATCCTTTTTAAAGTTCCTTCATTCCCATTTCCACACGATGTAACTGTTTTATTCTGTAATTTTTGTCATTTTCTTTGTTTTTTCCAGCTTAACTTTTGCTCTGTTTTTATTTATATTTAGTATATTTTCTTATGATGTTATTTTTTTTTGTCTATTGTGATTGTAAATTTTATCTTTTATCGAAATGTATATCGTGTGAAAGGGCAGCTGACTTAATCAAGTTATAGTGATTTGTTTGCTTCAGCTGCCCCGATCATGTTGGTCTAATAAATAAACTGAAAAAAAACTTAAACTTAGGTGGTGAATGCCAGTTTACAGAGCAGTGGAGCGCATTCACCGTACCAGGCCAACAAGAGATGGCGTCCGCTAAGTTTCATTAAACCACAGACCCTTGTTAAGCTGACCACAGTGTTCAAACACTAAGAGTTGAAAACAACTAGGCACTAATAATAAACTTTAATAAAGAATCTTTGACCTGTCTCTTATACACATCTAGATGTGTATAAGAGACAGCAATTACATTAACCTCTTATACACATCTAGGCCAGCTAGCTTTTATTGCCTTAACTAGGATAGGAGGCGCCCGAATCCGAGAGGGCCGAGACTCAACAGGTGCTGACTGTAGTTCAATTAGATTGAACCCTAGCCAGCGATGAGGGCGTATCCCCATACTTCGGTTTGGGTGCTGGCATGGTATTCAAATTTCACTTCTTTTTATTTTGTGGTTTTGGTTTCCGTTCCATCTTTACACTTGCCTGATAGCGCTTAGAGACTTTTTGTATTTTGCGCTCTATAAATTAATAACCATTAACTGTAGTTCATCACAATTCTGTTATTGTAGTTTTCCCTCGAATTTGGTTAAATTTGCCTCATAGCCTTAAAGGTGTGTTGACCTGCGAGTCTTGGATCCTTTTTAAAGTTCCTTCATTCCCATTTCCACACGATGTAACTGTTTTATTCTGTAATTTTTGTCATTTTCTTTGTTTTTTCCAGCTTAACTTTTGCTCTGTTTTTATTTATTTTGTTTATATTTTTTCTTATTTTTTCTTATGATGTTAAATTTTTTTTTTTGTCTATTGTGATTGTAAATTTTGTCTTTTATCGAAATGTATATCGAATGAAAGGGCAGCTGACTTAATAATAATAATAATAATAAGATTAATCAAGTTATAGTGATTTGTTTGCTTCAGCTGCCCGATCATGTTGGTCTAATAAACTGAAAAAAACTTAAACTTAGGTGGTGAATGCCAGTTTACAGAGCAGTGGAGCGCATTCACCGTACCAGGCCAACAACAGATGGCGTCCGCTAAGTTTCATTAAACCACAGACCCTTGTTAAGCTGACCACAGTGTTCAAACACTAAGAGTTGAAAACAACTAGGCACTAATAATAAACTTTAATAAAGAATCTTTGACAACACATTTCAAAAATTTTGTTGGTCGACCTCTAATGTATCCAAAGTCACACCCCACAAGGACCAGCAACAACAAATCGTATAGGTCAAAACCTGCAGCTCTGGATTTACAGGTGGGGTCCCCATCTTTTTTATTTTGACGTTTGTGCTAGATTGCAAAAAAGAAGTCTGATTTTCCATCCATCCCAGTATAATGTAATGCCAGAATGCCAGGGAACCAGCAAACCAAACAATGTTGTATTCCAATGTCCTGAGCTAGAATACAAAATAATCTCGTGTCACCTTTGAAAACTCATGATCTATCTAAAAACTACGCTCTATCATTTACACAAATTACATTAGTAACAAGAGCAATCTATAGCCCAGTAATTAAAAAAACGTAGTCATTCCAGCCCCCGTTCCAGCTTGATTTCATTTGGGAAGAATAGATCTCTTGTCTTCCACTAAATAATCGTAGGCTTTTTGTGTAGTCTTAATTGTCTACATGCGAAAACCATTTTATGTTTTGAATACGATTAATAAAATCTTACTGAAGTTGTTGAAACACTAGTGTAATGCGTTTCTATTTCTCTGTGGCAGTTATAACTCGGGCGGCCGTATGCTGTTTAAGGGAAGGCGATGAATTAATCATTTTGGGATTCCAGGGGAAAATGCCCGTAAGTACAGTTCACCTTCAAATTCGAGACCACCTTTGGAACCTGAAAATTTGGGGTGGTCTCAGAGTGATCTCCAATTAGAGGGCTAGTTTTGTTTTAAAAAGGTTGAAGATTGCTATTTGGGTCTTTTGGAAAAAGTGGTCTCGAATTAGAGTGGTCTCGGAATGAGAGGGGTTATGGTGAGAATTTCGTTGACTACTAAGTCTAATCAACGGTTAAAGTGATATTTAACTGGACTATCAGTGTTGGGCCGTAACGTCTTAATGGGTTTTTAGGGGGGTTTTTTTGGCAAAAGATGTACACATAGGGTTTTAAATCTATTTTTGCGGGCCGCTGAAAAATGTCCGATGGTCCTCATTTTGACCACATTTGACCTGCATTTGCGTCTTTCCCACTACTGTATTATATTCATGTTAGAATCAGCATTGTTTTTGTTTTGTACTTTGAATTCACAATCATAAATTAATGTGCTTTTTCAATGTTAGTTACTTCTTTTTATAGTGATCATTAATTGTGTGGGTTGGTGGAAGGATTTCCTTGAGCAAATAACATGTACTGCTAACAGTCAGTAGCCATACCAGTATCATAGTTAGAATATGTAAACTTAATTACATAACCATTGAACACTGTGTATATATTTAGAGTATAGTGTAAATATTTTGAAGAGAAAGTTCCGAATTGTTGGGTCATGATGTTATTGAGTGTACAGCTAGACATTATAACATTCCGCCACATTACTCACCCCCACCCCGACCAAGAATGTAAAATGATCACTGGACTCAGGTGGGTGGCACCTTGTACTCAGCTGGGCGGCGCCAGAAATTCCCCTAAGAGGGGTCCAAGCTCTCCGACAAGGGTTCCACACCCCCGTCGGGGAAGCCTACGTGGTCCTTTAAATCTGGCCCGGGCGAAAAACTGAAATAAAAATCAAATAATAAGAAAATTAAACCATTTGATAAATACTTTTCCCTTTATAGTTCAATACATACTCAACCCATGGGCCATGTCTACTAACAGCATTTTAAAGGAACGATTATGCATTGTATAGAAGATACATTTGCACGTTAGTATTTCAACATAATTTACAAATATTAAGGTTCTTTAACTTGTTTAATCAAAGAGGAATATGTTAAGTACATAATTCATCCATGTTTTAACTATCAGTATTAACATTCTGTTACTGTTATACACCTTACATATATTTTATTTTATGTTTACAATATATTACTAACATTTGTTAATACACTGAATGAGGTTTCTTATTGTTTTAACATTTACCTTGTGACAAAGACAATTATGGTGTAAACAGAATATTTATATGTATTCTTTAGTAAAGGTTACAGAATTGTAATATTTGCAGTACCCTAATATTTATAATATAAAATTACTAAAAAATTATAACGAGTTGCTGTGGCCCGTGAGCTTAACTACAATAAATAAATTAAGAACCTGGCCCGGGATTCATCAATCTCAGCTTAGCAAATGTCTTAAGTCAAAAAAGTTAAGATGTCCCTAATAAATATCTTAAGCTGATTTATTATCCAATCTTAGCAAAATCTTGGGTTAAAAACCGTCTTAGATGGTGCCAACGTACGACTAATTCTAAGCAATTTTTAAGCTAAGCAATAAGGATAAATTTGACTTGGGACTTAAGACGAATTTAAGCTGATTTCTAGTTTGATAAATGTGGCCCCAGAGCTCTACTGTTTGTATTCCAGAAGGCACTCAGCATTAACATAAACATAAGCTGCGTCTTGTGGTCACACGCATTTGACAAATAAAACCCATTGATAAGCTTTATATATATATATATATATATATATATATATATATGGTGTCTGGATGATCTCTCTGTATTTCACGAACACTATAGGGTCACACTACCACAATTTAAGTATACAGTGAACAAAATATGGAAGCAAATAATTTTAAAATTGTAAACCGGCTTAATCAACAACAATACAGACTGTACTGTATTATATATACTTAGATGTGCACGTATCGCTTTTGTGTCTATTGCCCCCTCAGGGACAAAGACACTATGTTATCGTCGGCAGTTATCCCTGTAAGAGCTAGTAAATCCAGTGGAGGTGCATGATGAGCCTAACAATTTCAAAATGCAATATAAAAATCATTAAAAGGGGAAAAAATCCATATAAATAGAGGAAAAATCCATATAAATAGAGGAAAAAATCCATATAAATAGAGGAAACAATAAAACACATAAAAGCACAATACAAACATTCAAAGACTTTTCTCTCCCCCCCCCCCCCCCCCCTTCTTCTCCCCCTCCCCCTTCCCCCCCCCTCCCCCCCTTCTTTCTTTTTTCTAT